ATTCCCTACCGTTATCTCCTCCCTCAATCCCTATTTCCTATTTCCTCTCTCTCATTATCGCCCCCCGTTATCTCCTCCCTCATGTCCTCCTTGCACCTCTCTCGTTACCTCGTCCCGTTATCTCCAACTTCCCCTTGCCCGCCCGTTCTCTCCTCCCTCGCTCCCTCCCTCATCCCCCCTTCCCCTTCCTCGTGCCTCCTCCGTCCTCCGTCCCCCGTCCTCCCCTCACCCCTCACCCCTCATTCGTCTCCACCCTCCATCCCTCCATCTCTCGCGCCCTCCTTGCCGTCTCTGGATCCCACATTCTCCTATTATCCCTCCCCCCTCCCCCCTCCCCCCTGACCCCCCACTGCCCCCCCGCCCCGGACCCATCCCCTCTACACGACCGCACCACCCCCCTCCCCCCTCACTCCTCCAACCATCATCCATTGCCTACCCATAAACCTATCCTCCCTCATCCTCATCCCTCATAAATTCTTGTCCCTCCCACACCCCTCTCCTAATATTCCCTCCCCCCCCTCCCTTCAAAACACACTCCCTCCCCGTCCCACCGCCGCCCCACTATTCGGTGTTCCGTGCCTCGCTGCTCTCTCGTCCATTCCTCTCCCCTCCCCCCCCACTGTCGTAATCCCACTCGCCGCCAGCCGAGGCCCAGGCCTGACGGCTTGGCGGTGCGCAGCGCGGCCGCGGCGAACGCGGGCCGCGGCGCCGCGGGGGCCCTCGGCGCCGCGTCGCGGCGGAAAGCGTGGCCGAAGGGGGCGCGGCCCGGACCCGCGAGGAGGAGGAGGAGGAGGAGAGGAGGAGGAGGAGAGGAGGAAAGGTTTGGGGGCGCGGGGAAAATAAGGAAGGAGGAGGAGGGAGGGGGAGGAGGAGGGAGGAGGGAGGACGGGGATACGGAGGAGCAGGAAAATGATGAGGAAAACGGAAGAAGGCAAGGAGAAGGAATCAGAGGACGATGGAGGGGAAGGGGATGAAACGGGGAACGAAAGTTGAAGAGGACGATTGCGACGACGACGACGCCGCCGGCGTCGGCTCTCGGGGCGGCCCCGGCACCCCCCGCGGGCCCGCGGGTCGTCGTCGTCGTCGTCGTCGTCGCCGCCGGCGCCGCCGCCGCCGCCGCCGCCGGCGTCGTCGTCGTCGTCGCCGGCGTCGTTTTCGGCGTCGGCGCGTCTTCCGGCAGCGGCGGCGCCAGACCCCCCCCTGGAGCTCAAATGCAAAATTGCATGATGCGCAGATCCCCCCCTGGAAGTCAAATGAAAATTGCATGATGCGCAGACCCCCCAAAAAAAAACCTCAAACGTATCCGTTTTCATGTCTGAACCAAGAGATCTGCATTCCCAAGTCGACCAGAACACCTTTACTAGCGAGCTCATACCATCCCAGGCCAACCGGCATCGATCCCTCCAAAAAAGTTCAGTTTTCAAAGGCCCCTTGCAACGAACCGCGTTGACGCGCGCGCGTTGGCGCGCGCGCATGCCGAAATCCGCCAAAAACAACCGGTGCCGTAAAGATTTACCAATCGAATGTCACAAAAATATGAAAGCACATGGTTTCGCAAAATGACTTTTGACAACAAGCTTGCGGGCGTGCTCTCGCGAGTTCGAGGAAGTTAAAGGTTGCGCAACATGTTCAAATGATGCTACGAAGCGGGCTTCGCGCGCGCGTCGAAATAGTTCGAGCGCCCTTGCGCGCGGCCTGTCTTGAGAATCTATTTTGTTTCTATAATATATGTATCATACTTCTTTATGTGTGTGCATGTATATATATATATATATATACACACTTCACACAAAAACCAACAACAAAGAGGACGTCATGCGCGTGCCGTCGCAAGAAACCCTTTGCGAAAAATGGGGCGAAGTGCAGACGCGCGCGTCGTCGCGCGCAAATGCCTGAATCCTTCAAAGAACCTTCGGTTTCGGAAGGGATTCAAAATTGCGCGCTAAAAACAAACAAGAACACAAGGTTTCGCATCACGAATGTTCAACAAAAGCGCGCGCGCGTTCTTGCGTCGTCGTCGTCGGCGTCGCCGTCCCCCCTCCTTCTCTTGTCGTCGTCGTCGTCGCCGTCGTCGTCCTCTGTCTTTCCTCGTCGTCGTCGTCGTCGGCTTGGCGTCGTCGTCGTTTCCGTCGTCGTTGTCGCCGTGCTCGTCCTTCCTCCTTCGTCGTCTTCGCCGGCGTTTCGTCGTTGTCCCTCCTATTTCGTCGTCGTCGTCGTCTTCCCCCCGCCCTCGTCGCTGTCGTCGTCGCCATCGTCGTCCTCCGTCCTCCCTCGTCGTCGTCGTCTTCGTTGGCGACGTCGTCGTCGTCTTCGTCGTCGCCGTCGTCGTCGTCGTCGCCGTCGTCGTCGGCGTCGTCGTCGGCGTTGTCATCGTCGTCATCGTCGTCAACGTCAGCGTCGTCGTCGTCGTCGGTGTTGTCGTCGTCGTCGTTGTCGTCGTCGTCGTCGAAGTCGTTAGAGACTCGCCCGCAACGTCTGCCAATGTCGACGTTGCCATGATACCGCGCCCGCCCAAGTCGCCGACTCGCAATGAAATGCCCGCTGGTATGTGCCCAACGATCAGCGCCACCGCGGCCGCGCCGGTCGCGCCAAACCAGCGGCCGCTGCGCGCGCGTGTTTGGGTTGGCGCGGCCGCAGAGACGCACCAGCCAACGCCGAGCATGCATCACAATCGCCACCCTATTGGTTTTGCAAACCAAATTACGGGTGGGTGGGTGGGATGTTTGCAAGAGCACGGGATGTGCCAACTCGTGTTTCGACCAGGTGCACTACATAGAACCCACAATATACATATATATATACATATGACACCTCGCGAAGTGCCCCACACATATTGCACCACATAGACTGCGCATCATTACACAGCACAGATTGCACCGCATTACCGCTCACAATGTATTGGACACCATGGATTGTACCACCTATGTTGCCCCCCCTTCCCCATCCCCCCAAAGGTTACACACCATAGAGAGCACAACGCGTACAGCACAACATGGGTTGTCCAATCTAAACCACACAGCAGAGGTAGCACAGCATTGATATCAGAACAAGTGTGTCCCACACAGGGTTCAAGATATTGCTTGCACGAAGTAGGTTGCACCACTCATGTTGCACCTCATAAGTTGCGCCACGTCGCTTGCACAATGCATATTGCAATACCGAAATTGCACAATATGTATTGCATACCAACGATACACAACTTAACGTGCACCACGCCAGTCGTAAATCATGTACTGCACCACACAGGTAGCATTCCATATCTATATATTTATGTAGAAGTATATATATATATATTGTGCAGCATCGGTTGTACCACAAAACTTGCACCACTTAGACTGCACCACATAGATTGCACAACCTACAGTGCACCACATAGCTAGCACAATTTATATCGCCCACATCGGTTGCACAACAACGTATCGCACGACATGGATTGCTGGAACACGCACTATACGGGGTCAACGCTGGCTAGCTTGTCGGTGTGTATATAAACGTATGTAAAAACACAGATGAACAAGCGGCACGGTGCGCATCCAGGCTCATACGAAAAGCTCTGGGGGGTCACCGATGGGAGTATCACAGCTTATGGTTATACGAAATGGTGAGAGAACACCCCGTGGGCATGAAAAATAGAGCTGCAGCATTGTCAGCATCATCAGCATCATCAGCAGCATCGGAGAACTGCACTTGGAATCCAAGACAAAACGATGCTGCTCTACCAGGCATGCTGCACAAGTTCCACAGAAAACAATTTCGAAACCACTGCTTCCTGACAACCATGTGCAACCTCAGCGAAACCATATATATATAGCGGGAGCTCCACTAAAGGCCACATTGGCAGCGCCTGCATGGCGGCCCCGCCTCAGTTCGGCACCGCTCACACGCTTCGTGGCCTTATGGGGAGCTCCACCGAATGCCCGAGTGGCAGCGCCCGCATTGCGGCCCCGCCCCATTTCTGCACCCCTCACACGCTTCGTGGCCCCATCGGGGGGCACCACCGAAGGCCCCAATGGCAGCGCTCGCATGGCAACCCCGCCCCACTTTGGCACACCCCTCACCTGCTTCGTGGCCCATATCGGAGACTCTCCTTCCGTCGTCCCTGTCGCCTGCCTTGCGATACTCGGGTGTGCATATGATTGGATCCTTCTCCCGAAACAATGTTAGACACTGGCTTCATATGCCGCTGAGACGCTTTGCTGCCCGAGCCGTACAACCTCCATGTTGCTGCCGCTGTCCACCACCCACAATCGTGCCTTATCAAATCTCCTCCGCCCGATACTCATCCGTGCGCCTTGAGATCCCATCGCCCCACTCCCGCTTTGCCTGCCCAGATCACATTCTTGGCGTGCTCGTTGTCGATGGCGTGCACCTCCTTCTGGACATAGTCGCTGTTGAAGAGGGGAGCCCGAAAGAAGTCCTGGATACGTATCGAAAAGTGGAGGCAGGTGGTGTAAGGAAGCACTTGGGTCACATGATTGCCCTGGGCACAGGTGTCAATTGCAATCCCTTCAAAAGGCAAACAGAGCGCCTGGGGTACAGGTGTCAATCGCATGCTTCAGACAGTGCGACGCCTGGGGCGTGGATGGCAGGCACTGCGTCCTCGAAGATCGACGCGTGTCAGCTGAAGGAGGAGGGCTAGAGCGCAGGCAGAGGATGCGGACCGGAGAGGCCCAGAAAAATCTGCATTAGGAAAAGAAAAACCATATAAGCAGAAACTTGTGGCGCTCCGCGCGGACTTCTCGGGTCTGCGCTGGACCCCCTTCCCTGACGCGCGGAGCGCGCCAGGGGCGGCGCCGGAGGCGGCCCAGCGCGCATCCAAGAAATCAGCGCAGAGCGCCCAAAGTTCATGTGTTTTATTATTCGGCGCATGCATAAAGTAAAAAATCGTGGGTCGTGGATCGTCGTTGCCAGATGATCACTGGATTCGGAGGAGGCCCGTGTTGCTGCATCAATCTCGATCCGCCACCGTGCCGCAGGCATTGAGCGCAGTGTTTTGCAGCCCCTGCGTGAAGACCAGATTTAGTTACGCGCAGAATCAGCACGAAGTGCCCAATATTGGCTCCTCAGCACTGAGGCTCCAATATTGGAAAATCACTACTCACGGCCCCAGACCCCCGATATTCGGGCTGTCTCGGACGCTTCCAGGGATCGCCGCGTGCCCTTTCCAGAGGCCCTGGACGCGATGCTGACGCCAACATGCTCCCAGGACGGCGTGCTGGGACTCCGTTGTGGTCCCAGGGCGGCGTCCTGGAGCTCTGGGCTCTCTTGGAGGCCTCTTAGGCCGTCTTGGAGGCTCTGCGAGCTGACCCACGACACCCAAATCCGCCGACTCGGCGTGAGTTTCAAAAAGCTGAAGCTAAAGCTCAGGCTGCAACCTAGAGTAAGAGCTTCAGCTCCGCTGGGAGGGGGGCCAGGGTTGCTCTGCCGGGGACAAGGGTTTGGGCGGGGGGGCGCCAATTCTCCGGTTCCGAGGGGGGGGGGGAGTTCTTCGGGTTCCGGAGGCGGGATGGGGGGAGGTGCGCCAGTTCTCCGGCTCGGGGAGTGAGTTCTCCGGTTCCGGAAGAGGGGGGGAAGGGGCAGTATGGCAAAATCGTCAAAATCCTGACGGTTTTTTTTGTTAGATTTTGCTACATTTGTTCGAAGCGACGACGGCGGTCCACGAGGCCCCCCAGATCGTCGCAAGACATCCAAAGAGGCCCCGAGGAGGAGCCAGGACGGCCCAAGACGGCCCCAAGATAGCCCAGGGAGCTCTCAAGACGACCCCGAGAGGCCCCCCAGTGGCCTTAAGAGGTTGAACCCGAACTGACCCTTCCAGTCCTCCGACCCAAGACAACTCCAAGAGACCGCCCTAGGCCCCCAAGAGATCACCACGAGGCCCCCCAAGAAAACCCCAAGAAAACCCCAAGAAGCCCCAGAAAGGCCCCGAAAGAACCCCCAGAAGCCCCCAAGAGCCCAGAGGCCCCAAGAGGCGCCCACTCGCGCGCTGCCAGGCAAGAGGTGCATAGTATATGGCGTGGTATTGCTCGGACACGAGTCGTGGTCGTCGTCGTCGTCGTCGCCATCGTCGTCGTCATTGTCGCCGTCGTCGTCGTCGTCATCGTCGTCGTCGTCGTGTTCGTCTTCGTCTTCGTGTTTGTGTTCGTGTTCGGCGTCGTCATCATCGTCGTCATCATCGTCGTCGGCATTGTCATCGTCAACCGTTGTCGTTACCCCGTCCGTCGGTCGTCGTCGTAATGATCCCGCTCGTCGATCGCTGGTCGTGCGTTGTCGTCGCCGTCCATTCCCGATAACATTAGTTATGCCCCCGATCGGCGGCACTGGCTGGAGGTCACTACAACCATGAAAACATGCTAAGCTTTCAGCTTTTCGATCTTGCTCCAGAGTCCCTCAATATCACCCAGCCCAAGACGGCCTTCAAACTGCCAAGCGCGCCTAAAGATGCCCTCTAGACGGCTCGAAGAGAGGACCAAAAGGGGGGGCTTGAAGGGCACCCAGTAGCCCACCAAGAAGCCCCCAGGAAGGCCCCAGAGGCCCCTCAAAAGCCCCCAGCAGACCTCAAGACAAAAGGCTCCCCAGAAGCCCCCGAAAGGCCTTGAAGAGGCACCCGAGAAGACCCCAAGAGGCATCTGAAAGGCATTTGGTCCACAACCCACGTAACCACAGCGGCAGGATGGGCCGAAGTCCACATCCTCCGCCTCATTCTCCTCCTGCTCCTCCTTCTCCTCCTCCTCCTCGGCCTCCTCGGCCGACGCCGCCGCCGCATCATCATCATCATCATGATCACCACCACCATCACCACATTATCATCACCACATCGTCATCATCACCACCACCACCACCATCATCATCATCACCACCACCACCATAATCATCATCAACATCATCAGCAGCATCATCATCATCATCAGCAGCATCATCATCATCATCATCATAATCAGCATCATCATCATCATCATAATCATCATCATCATCATCATCATCATCATCATCATCATCATCATCATCTGCACCATCATCATCATCATCATCATCAAGATCAACATCAGCATCACCATCATCATCATCATCATGATCAGGATCATCATCAAATCCTCATCTCATCGTCATCCTCATCATAATCATCATCATCATCATCCGCATCCTCATCATCATCACCATCATTATAGTTATCATCATCATCGCCATCATCGTCATCATCATTATCAGCATCATCAGCATCAGCATCACCATCGTCATCATCATCATCAGCAGCATCAGCATCATCACCAGCATCGTCATCAGCATCACAATCATCATCATAATCATCGTCATCGTCATCATCATCAGCAGCAGCATCAGTATCGTCATCATCATCATCATCATAATCATCAACATCAGCAGCATCATCAGCAGCATCATCATATTCACCATCATCTGCAGCATCAGCATCATCATACGCATCAGCATCATCATCATCAGTAGCAACACTATCATCATCGTCAGCATCATCACCATCATCATCAGCATCATCAGTACCAGCATCATCGTCATAGTGCACATCATTATCATCAAATTTCAGCATCATCAGCACCATCATCAACATCATCGTCATCAGCAGCATCAGTATCATAATCATCATCAAGATCATCAACAGCATCATCATCATCAGCATCACCAGCATCAGCAGCATCATCATGAGCATCAGCATCAGCACCAGCATCATCATCAGCAGCAACACCAGCATCAGCATCATCAACAACATCATCACGATCATCATCAGCATTAGCATCATCAGCAGCATCAGCATCATCATCAGCATCATCATCGTCGTCATTATCATCAGCATCATCATCACCACCACCACAATCAGCACCATCAATAACATGATCAATATCATAATTAGCATCATCAACATCATGCTCCCCCTCCCCTCGCTTCTCCACCTGAGCTACCCTCGTCGAGCCTAGAATCGCAACGACCAAGAATATGTCCCCGTCCTGCCTGTCCCCTCGTCCTCCTGTGAGGTGTGCTCCTCCTCACTGGGACACCGGGCTCTCTGGATACAAAGTCACGGCGCAGCCGGGCTGGACGAGGCTGAAAGGCGGGGAATTCAGAGAAGTTGCCGACGTGGCCATCACTAGCGCGCCTTCAGCTTGTCCACACGTTCCAGGATGTCCTGCACAACCTCGTCGTTGCTCCGACGCTTCAAAAGCCCGAACAGGTTGCCGGCGCCGAAGGCGCCAGACTCGCTGGCTATGCTAGTCAGCGCCCTGTCCAAAAACTTCGCCCGCGCCCTCGCCTCGACCAGCGCAGCGCCGCGATCTGCACGCCTCTCCGTCTCCAGCGAGGCCCTCATCTCTTCCAGCTCAGCTCGCGCCAGCTCGGTCTCGGCCTCCAGCTCGGTGACTCTCTGGGCGTTGGCGCGCGCACCCTCCAGGGCCGCCTCGCGCTGCTCGGCCAGGTCCGGGATGGGCTCGCCGCCGGTGGCGTTCTGGGCCCGGTCCCCCACGACCTTGAGCATCGCGAGGAGCAGGTCCGAGCGCGCAGCCGCGGCGGCACCGCGCACCCGCTCCTCCTCCGCCGCCGCCCTCGATGCCTCGGCGAGCGCCTGGCCCTGGTCTTCCAGCAGGGCCGCCAGGTTGCGCTCCCTCGTCCTCGCCTCGCGCTCCCTGGCCTCCGCCCTGCTCACCTCCTTGCCCCTGCCCTCGAGGCTCCACTCGAGCCTGCGCACCGTCGCCTGCAGCCTTTCCTCCCTGGCCTCCGCCTCACGCTGCTTTGCCTCTGCCTCGCGCTCCTTGGCCTCTGCCTCGCGCTCCTTTGCCCCTGCCTCCCGCTCCTTCGCCTCCGCCTCTGCCCTCAGTTCTGCCTGTTGCGCCTCAAGGTTGCGCAGAGTCTCCTGCAGTTCGCGCAGCTTTGCCTCTGCCTCACGCTCCTTCGCCTCTGCCTCCGCCCGCATCGCTGCCTGCTGCGCCTCAAGTTTGCGCAGCGCCTCCTGAAGCTCGCGCTCCTTTGCCTGGGCCTCGCGCTGCTTCGCCTCGGCCTCTGCCTTCACCTCCGCCTGCATCGAGGCGCGGCCGTCGGCAAGCTCGGTGGTGAGCCGCATCAGCAACGACTGCTGCTCCGCAAGGTCCGCCCACGCCTTCTGCACCGCCTCCTCGTTTACCGCGGTGGTGGTCGACTGCACGTTGTAGAGCGCCTGCGCCGCCGCCACGTTCGACTTGGCTTTGTCCATCTGCACCCGCAAAGCCTCCCCGCCAGACGCCCCCTCGGCCGCAGCCTCGGCCGCAGCTGGAAGAAGAAAAAATTGGATAAACGTACACTGTCGGAGGTCTGCGCAGAATCCTCGGGTCTGCGCTAAATCCCCTCCCCTGGCGCGCGGAGCGCGCCCGAGGCGGCGCCGGAGGCGCCGCTCGGGGGCCCAGCGCCGATCCACGACATCCGCGCGGACCTCCGAGAAGTCATGTTTACGTTTTTGGTGGCTCTTCGAGCAACCTCCGCTGCGCCCTCGGCGCCCCCCGCGGCAGCGAGCCCGCGCGCGCAACGGCCCCCGCCCTGGCGCGAAGCCGCGGCCACCGCGGCCGCCGCACGGGGCCCCGCCGCGACGCTGCGCGGCGCGGCCAGTGCGGGAGAGGCCGATTGCACCGCGCCGTGGCGGGCGGCGGTCAGGCCCGCGGCCCCGAGCGCCGCGGCAGCGGCGAGCGCCGCGGCGAGCGCACCGGCACGGCCGCCCCGGGCACCGCGGGCGAGCGAGGCGGCGGTGCCAGCGCGGCGGCGCGGCATCCGGCCGGCGCGGCGGCGGAGCATTGCTCAACCGATCCATCTCCTCACTGGCCCGGCCTCGGCCCCACTGGCCGACTCAACCCCGCTACAGTCAGAACTGCCAGCCAGGATGCGCGGCAAGGATACAAGCCCATTGGACGTCCATGACAAAGCTCTTCGAGCGGGGCTCGAAAGTGGTTAATTAAGGATGGAAATAACAGGCAAGGCAAGGATGCACTGGTGCCCTTGGAAAGCCGACCCATCCTTATCCTCGATTTCGACTGTATAGATGGGGGCATATACTTGTTCCTTTGGGTTTCACAGGGTCCATCCCGATCCAGGAGGGTGATCGGACGGGGCCGAGATCCTCCACCGTGCCGCCTGGCATGTTGGGGCGTGCTAAATTGCCAAGTGCTGCCTGGTAGGGATGATGTGATACTCTAAGGACCCTCCTCCTCCTCCTCCTCCTCCTCCTCCTCCTCCTCCTCCTCCTCCGCCTCCCCCTCCTCCTCCTCCTCCTCCTCCTCCTCCTCCTCCTCCTCCTCCTCCTCCTTCCTCCTCATCCTGCTCCTCCTCCTCCTCCTCCGCCTCCTCCTCCTCCTCCGCCTCCTCCTCCTCCTTCTCGTCCTCCTCCTCATCATCCTCGTCCTCCTCCTCCTCCTCGTCCTCCTCCTCGTCCTCCTCGTCCTCCTCCTCCGTCTCCTCCGTCTCCTCCGTCTCCTCCTCCTCACGCTGGGTCGCATGCGTCGCCCCCTCTTCTCGAGGCCACAATCCCTCGCACAAAATGCTACTGGCTGGCGCTCCGGAGGCCAAGATGCCTCCCAGACGCAGCCCAAGAGGGCCTGAGGACGGCCCCTAAGGTCTTCGAGGCGTCCCAAGGAGAGCCTCAGGATCCTTCCCAGGCGGGCCTCCAGATGCACCAATCAATGACTTCCCTTGGAGATTCCAACGTGTTCGGGGTTCTCGCCTTTTCACGCTTCCGACGTGGCGACAGGCCCCAAGAGAACACCAAAACGGCCGCAGACGTCCACAAGAGGGCCCCAAGACGGCCCAAGAGGGCTCCAAGAGGGCTCCGAGAAAGCCCACGAGCAACCAAGACTGCCCAAGAGGGCCCCAAGACGACCCAAAGGGCCCAAAAGGGGGAACACGAACCGACAAATCAAGCCTTCCGCCCCAAGAGGCCCCAAGGACCCAGGATGCCCCAACATGAGAAAAATATTACCCAAGAGGGCCCCGAGAGAATCCGAGACGCAAAAGTCATCGACTTGCCAAAAAGGTGTTCCAATGTTTTTGGGTCCTCGCCTTTTCGAGCTTCCGACGCTCCAAGAGAACCCAAGACGGTCAAGAGGGGTGCCCAAGGCGGGGAACACGAACCGAGAATTCGAGCCGTGCGGACCAAGAGGCCCCAACAGGCCCAGGGAAGCCAGACCGAGGCCCCGAGAGGCCCGCACGAGGGCCCTGAGAGACAAAGCTCATGGTTGCTCCTCAGTTTCTTCCATGTTTTTCACCAGCCTGGAACATGTTCCTGTCCCTATGCTGGGCATCGCCTCATCACGATGACGATCTCAGGGATTCCATTTGTTTCTGAGGGCGCATTCCTAAGACTGTCATCGCCGTTTGGAGTGTCATCCTTACGGATAGGGATAAATTCGAGGCTGGTGATGTTTGGGGTTCTCGCCTTTTCGAGCTTCCGGGCGACGACTTCCCCCCCTCAGGGGGGGTCGCACAATTTTCCTGCATCGCCCCCCGAATTCTCCAACAACGACCTCGCGCAGCCAACTGTCATGCCGCGGAGTCTTCTGATAAGCCCCCCCTGACCCCGCGACCAGAACCCTCTTCGCGAGGTCAGCCGTGCCCCGCGCGCCGTCAACGCCGCCTGTTCGAGCCCAGAGCGCCACCGCGCCCCTGCGGTTAAGCTCTCGTGCAAGCCGAGAGCTTAAGAGGACAGTTTTCGGGGGCATTCGGTCGAGGTGTTTCCATTTTGGACGAGGACAACCTGATGGATCACGAAGCAGACATGCGGGCCCAGAGCAAGGTGGCCAAAACTATCACCTGCGGGCCATAGGGTTGGGGCGAGCACAACCATCGACTGACATATGGAGCAGGGGAGCCGTCAATATCACCCACGGGAGAGAAGATACTTGTCGGACCAATTCGGTCGGCAACTCAAGATAGTCTAGCCGAGGTAAGGCGTCTCCAGGTAGCGCCAGAGCTGACCTGCTCACCCGCCAGGAGCGTGGGCCGACTTCAACGCACCCGAGGGAAGTGCAGAGATGGGCCGAAAGACGGCCGCAGCTAGGTGGCCGGACGCCCCGCCTGCAGCTAGCCGGGCGCAGCTAGGTGGCTGGACGCCCCGCCACTAGCTGGGCCGAAAGTCGTCCACAGCTCGGTGGCCCGAGGCCCCTCGTAGGCAAAATCCTGAGAGCCTGCCAGACGCGGCCGCCTGCCAGCGGTCCAGCGCGGGCTCCAAGACGGCCCAAGCTTGTTCTAAGACGGCCCGGAAGGTGTCCAATAGGACCTCAACTCGGCCCTCGGGGGCCCTCGGGCGGTCCTCAAGGTGCCTAAGGAAGCCCCCACACGACCCAAAGAGGCCCCCGAGATAGACTCCGAAAGCGACAGACGGCCCAGGAGCGCCCTCAAACGGAAACGAGGCCCCCCAGGAGCCCCCGAGGCGCCCCGCGGACGCTGCCAAGATGCCCTAAGACGCCCCGAAGAAGGCCCAGAGGGGACACCAGGGCCTTCCAATCATGACGTGCAACCCCCAGGCCCTCCTCGTGGGATACGCGGGTCGAGCCCCTTGCTCGAAGCAGATCTGAGTGCACGCGATGCTGGGGTGCATCATGCTTGCAATTTTGAGCAGAGTTCTCCGCGCAGTGCACTGTGAGAAGAACAGCGAGAATGATTCCGTCGACGGGGAGATCACGGAGTCACCAAGTTTCGCTACTGTGATGGCGTCTACCTTCTCTGAGGACCCTGAAGAATCTCCGCCGGTGGGAGGCGGCGACAAAAAAGGGGAGGCGCAAGCATCGACAGTGAAGGGGCGCCGTCGTGACCTTGCAAATGAGATGCAAAGAATGCAGGAGTCGTTGCGCACTCTCGCGGGGAGAATCGGAGGCGGCTTTCAAACCCGGCGTCAGACCAAGCAGCATCGAGGCTCGAAGCTGCTGCATCAAGTCAGAGTACTGATCAAGAGGGTTGACGAGATGGGCTACAGGCCCTCCCATGAGCAGGTCCCTGAGAAGCTCCAGCAGCTTCTGGGCAGGCCCACCACGAAGCAGCAGCAGCAGCAGCAGCAGCCCAAGCAGCAGCAGCAGCAGCAGCAGCAGCACCAGCCGAAGGATCTCAAAGTGGTCAAGAGTTAGTGGAGTGATGGTTGCCCGATCTGGACGGCGAAGAGGCTGCAGGATTGTAATTATGGGCGGCCTCCTCTGATTGTGTGTCAGAATGAGAAGGAGTATGACGCGGCAGGGAGATGGTTGGATGCCCTGGGGGGCGCGCAGCGTTCGGCCACTATCATCGTTTTCAATGTGCAGCGTATCCTGGAGGGTGCGGCCTTCGGTGATGTGCTGATGGACGCCCCCCAGGGCAAAGGTACAGTGACACAGAGGTGCCTGATCCTGGAGCTGGGCGCGGCCCCACCCAAGAAGAAGGGCCTCCCTGACGGCGTGCAGGATGACGTGCCCGTGACGACGGACAACAAGGGCTCCCAACTTCGCGCTTCGCGCTGCGCGAAGCGCGAAGTGCGAATAACTTCGCGCTCTCGCGCCGCCTCCCAAGTGAGAAGAGGAGGATGAGGAGGAATCGGAGCCGAACCGCGAAGCGCGAATAACTTCGCGCCCTCGAGGGCGCCCTTGGACAAGGGGTCCCGCGAGACGGTGCAGGTGAGGCTCACGGTCGCCAGGGGCTTCTCAGCGGATGACCTCTTTGCGCGTGCTGCCCACAGGCCTGTGGCCTTGGCAGCACTCATCTTCGACGCTGGCCTTCAGAAGCTCGTGCTGAAGGTCGAAGGTGCTCTCAACTATGAGAGCGAGATCACGTGCTTGCTGGCCCTCAAGAAGTCTCCCCTGGAGAAGGTCATGCAAGTTGAGCTCCCGGGGTGTGTGTTCGTGAATCTCCAGGGCTCGAAGCTCGTCCCGCGCTGGTTCAAGAAGCGGGAGGACGAGCTGGCCGAAGCATACATCACGCGGGCGATGACGAGTGCGAAGACAATTGATGGGCGATTATGTTACCGCCCATCAGAAGACGCGTTCTTGGGAGTTCTCTCGGACAAAGCATTTAGTACGGACATTCTCCCACTTTGGTGTACACTTAATACACCAGACGTTTGGGTTGGTCCCGAAGATTTGGAGGAGTGGGCCGCCAAGAAAGGGTTCGCAAACATAAGCAAGATACACCGTGCTGGACGGCATCGATGGTTCTTCAGTGCCGACTTGGCCGCAGGACGCACGGATGCTGATGCGATTTGCACGCTCTCCAGTGGCATCTCAGTATCGCTGGCATACAACAGCGCGGGTGACAAGAAAAAGGTCCCAACGTCCAAGCCCGCCTCATCGTGGGGAGCTGCACAACCGCGCGCAGGTTCCCCATCAACACAGCACGACGACGACGAGGGCATGTTGCCGACCCAACTTGCCCCAGCCATCGCTGGCGCGGCTCCAGCTGCTGCTGGAGAGGGGCCAAGGGCCACTTGTACACCGCCCGCGGAGGGCCGCCAGCTGGGAACGCCGGCGGACGAACCCCCCCAGCAGCGCGCCCGACGCGCGGTGAAAGCTTCCTGGGCGGATTAGTGCAAAGACGTGGAATGCGGAGGAAGTGGGGACTGTATCTTCCTCTGGGTTGGCCGTGCTCTCCGTGATGCGTCGGCCGCCCCGAAACCTCTTGCTGCAGGTGGTTACCAGCCAGGGGGTAAAGTCCAAGCACAGCTGCGACTCCTTGGTGCGGCGAAATTGAAGAAGCACCCCAAGAAGTACGGAGTTACCACACAGATGACCGAGGCGATGGCGAAGACGGACTGCCTGGCGAACACGGCCGCCCTCCAAGCCACAGT